TTGTTAAAAGCAGCTTTTCAGCCCTTCCTTGTCGAGACTTGGAAAGCAGTATGCAGCTTGACTCTCTTAGTAGTTATATTTATGATCAGCCAACGTCAGACAAATAGCCATTAACGAGATTTATAGTAGCTGCCTCAAGAATTTACTTGCTGCATATTGAGCTGGAACTTTAGAAGTCAATCAGCTAATGCGGGCTCATTTAAACAAGAAGAATATTAGCCTTAGTGTTAGCTTAGTTTTTTGGCGAAAAAACATTGGGCACTAAATTAGTATAAAATAGTAAATCGTTTATGAAAATGTTAATAAAACATGAAAAAAGCATATTTATCACGGTCATCTGTTTGTTCCTTCATTGCCGTCTATAACTTGACTTCGGTATGCTAGTAGAAACGAGCGGTAAACGTTCACGTTATAGGTATAGTCTAGCGGGCGAGTTTCACTGGCTTATACATTCATAGCTTGCTGTGATAGGCGTGAAAGCGTCCCTAATCATAGTAAGACGGTACTGGTAGTCGGAAACGACAGAGCTCCTTTTAAGGCAGTTTGAAACAAACGATCATATAACATTGGATAGGAAACGGAGTACAAAGGATATTGCAGAGCCACTTTGGTGTGAAACCCCGGGGAAATATGGCATTAAGATATTGTTCTAGATTTTCATAGTGTCTATAGACAAAGATAGGATGAATTTTTTTGTACTTGGATAGTTTATATCTCGATATTGCGCTGTTTTTGGGCTTCGAAAGCTTTTTCTCGACAAGCTGGTTCTGCATAAAAATAAATATCTTTTACGACCACCGTAATTACTACCAAATATGTGCAGTATTTTTTACATATTATGACTAGATTTCTTTAAAAGCTGACCACAGGCTTTGTGCAGTTAGTTAATGCAGTGCTACATCAGGGAGTATTAAATATAATCAACTATTCATAGATCGTCTAAGTCATAACCTAAATTTTTATTTTCGCTTTAATTTTAAAAATTCATTTATATTAATATAGTAATTTAAGTGACTGATCGATTGCTACGACGAAGAGGTAATTGTTAATTTTCAGCCGACGTCACGCCAGAACAGATCTTTAATATGTTCTTCGGTGGTTCTTTTCCTCGCGGTGAAATATACAGAGGTCGTGGTGGCATGTATCACTTTGCAAGCCAGGGTGATGAAACTAGAAACGAAGTAAGTACTATTTCTGTTAGATTTTGCCTTAATTGGGTAAATTCCTAGCATCCTATTAATATTTTATGAAAATTTTTGTTAATTTTTAATTATTTGCGTGCTGACCACTGAATCCTCAAATCTTCTTCCTCAGTATGTATTCACCGAATCAAGGAATATGACGACTAATGGTTCTGTCCGATCGAAGATCCGTGCGGTGATTCATGAGCGACATCAGGAAAAGAACAGAAAATTTTTCACACCTCTGGATGATTAACATCGAGGAAATTTGGTCAAATAACACTTTCCATATTTGGGCATCATGACGTCAACCATCTTACTGACACTTCTTACTGTAAAAAAGTCCTGGCAATGCAGCATATATTTCGGAAGGTTCACACAGTCAGCAGAACTCTTATTCCACTGTCATACACATGTCATCCGGACTGACAGGTATTATCACACTGCTGTTTCTAGATCCATGTAGGCATAGATACATGCAGTGCATAAATTTACTAGCGTATTGGTTGGATCGATCATTCGTTTTTTTGATAATAACTAACTTTAATAACTTTCACTATTACGATTTGCACATTTTTTCACATGGTGATGTTCTAGAATTCTCTTGGCGTCCTACTGCAGTTCGTGCCGATTCTAATTCTTGTGGCATTGTCTCTGCTCACTCAGCTGTTTCTGTCTGAGCCGATTTACAGTTTGGAAAGAAACAGGTATTACTTTGTTATGATTTAATTTAGAAACATTTAGCTAAATAATGTTTAATGGCATTTGATTAATTGCTTTTAGCAAATACCCGGAGCGGCGGCTGACCGACGACCTTAAAGTACCGTACTATGTGGCCCCCGAATTTGCCAAGCAGTACAAGTGGAGTGCCATTCGGCGGATAGAAAGGCAGATCGACGAAGATTATCTACGCCAGTTGCAAATGAACTGCTACCTTGAGAAAAGCAAAAGTACGGCGGTTGCATATATCGCCGATAGTCATATATGTATGAAATTCTATCCCATTCGCGTCGTAAAGGCAGGGTAAAAGGCAAAGGACAATGTCCATGCAAATGAAATTCGTTGGAGCATTCACTGCCCTCGATCACAAAGGTAGCCCTGAAAGCCGCCGGCCAGGAATATCGAAATGGACTTTGGAATGAGGAAATGATGGTTTTCTGGACATGACAGATCCTAAAGCACACTTATGAGCAGTTAGAACAGAACAACAGGGATCCCGTTAATGTTTACTTTGTGTTGAAGGTAGAACAAACGAATGGGCTTTATCAAACTGTCTTCGACGAATAACGTCTGATACTGGAGAGAAATCAACATCTTTCAGGCCACTAGGAGAGACAGTGAGTTCGAAAAGATGACTCCAAACTGCAGCCCCTCAGAGGACTGATTCATTTTCGTTATACATAAAAATTCATTCACTTTTAAAATTGTCACAAGTTCGTCGTATCTCACTGTGGTAAACAGTCGAATAAGTATCGTGGCAACAGCTGATTCTTGTTTTATTCAGCCTTTAAGGCATGCACTAGACGTAACTGGGGTTGCTCAACCTGTAGAGCGCCCGTAGAGCATCAGTCTCAGAACTGAGAGGTCTCGAACTCGAGCCATGTGAATCATTCACATTTCTTTCTTCTGAGGTTAATAAAGGAGGGCTGCTCAGTCAGAAGGAAACAGGAGACTACAGAGCTACAGAATATGCTTGCCACATAGCAGTTTTAGATTGACTCTGTCTTTTAAATAAGACAGTCATGGCCGACTGCATGGAAATGGACATCAGCGCCCCATGAACTTTATGAAAATAAGGGCACTAGTCATGATTCAACCATGTAACTGTAAGGAAGTCTAATATTTCAACGGTTCGAGACAGCTGTTGTTCCTCTAAATGCACTATAATGCTAAGATGTTTACTGTACCATGGTGAGATAATGGCCTGCGATCAATTTTTCGAGATGGTGAAGCCATTATCTGTGGTTGAAAAAATAAGTTAATAAAGAGTTTTGGAAATAAGTATCGATGAAAGTAAAGAACTGGGCCTTCTTCAAACAAGATGGTAAAAGGGCATTGGAAAAGATATTTAGTCCAGTTATGTTACAGTCGGTCCCAAAACCGATCAAACTTAGTAAACATGTAAATCCCCCCGTATCGATAATAATGTGTAAATTTACTTCAGAACAGCTAGAGAGGTCCGTCGTATTGGCATGACGTGTCTGCCTCAGTTGGAAGTAAACTGCATAGTATCCTTCCTTGAAAACTTTAAAATTGATGGTTTAGCTGAAAGACAAGTGGTGTGAAATCATAGCGATTGTTACTTGTTTTTTTAAGTGAGTTATTGCCGCTCACTGGTTTATTTAGTATAGCCAACATTTTGACCACAAGCTGAACTAGTCATCATCCGGGTTTAAGAACGAAGCATTGGCTGTAAAAGGATCCTGCTTAAGCCATCGAATCTTTAGTAATTGGCTCAAAGTTACTTGTTTATTGTTTAATAGTAAGTTATTAAATATGACAAAACTGAGTAAATACAGCGTTGAGATCAGAACTCGATACCTGTTCAGGTAGATGACTCATCTTTCTTTTTTCCTAAGTTTAACAGTGAGTGCCGCACAGCTGCTCTAGACTCTGTCTATATATTATACGGCATTTCTGGCTGATAGCATAGAAATGAAAATCAACGCTCCTCTACTATTAACTTCACGAAGAGAAGGGTACTAGAAATGCACATCATAATAGTTTAAGGAATACCGACATTCTTACATAGAATTTAACAGAGATGCTTTACTTTTTTTCACATAAATGAATAATAATTTATTTGAAAGGAGTATTTGTAGTAGACGCGTTGCTCATAAGAGCAAGAAACCAGGGGGACGAACAGATGTACAAGAAGGCCGAGGCGATGCATATGCCATCTTGTGAACGTCTTAACCAGATCTACAGCTGACGGGACTGAATAAACTAAAGTTGGATGGAAATTGTTTGAAAAAATTGGGTCAATTAATGGACCAGTTATGGACAATTTTCGCTGACTCGCGACTTCCCTGATCAAGCGGTGACGTCAGCCCGTACGCCTGTAGCCTGCGAGCGGAGGAGACGTCGAGTAATGAATGACTTGCTTGGTTTTGGGGAAATGTGTTAATTTCGTTTTATAGTATAATCCAGTAAATTAACTTATTTAATGTTTTCAAACCTGTATCGCACTTTACACTCGAAACAAGCATCTGTCAGTGGCCTCACCTTCGATTTTCAAGAATATTCAATGTCGCGCTGACCGCACTGCGTACATGTAAAAAATACGGTCATTCCTTCGTCTGCAGATCGGGTTTGCCACGTGGTATAGGTCATTTTCTTAGCACCGCATTTGGGACACAGACGTTCGACCTAAGAAGCCCATAAGTTAATTAGTTACCTGAAAGCGGCTCGAATTTTCGTCAACTATACCGAAACTCCTTTGTCAGAATCCGCCTGCGTTTTGTTCTCTACCGTCGGGATGAACTTTTCATTGTACGTCCAGCTAAGCTGTTTGATCTCGGGTATCGTCCAGTTGTGGCCACAGTTGTAGCAATTGACCACTTCCAGTGCCTTACCGGTCGGCAGCATCGCCCCACACAGTTTGCAGAACATTGGAAAAGTCGGGACCTGGTCCGAGTCCATCTGGCCAGCCGAAAACTACAATCGTAACTAGTGGAATGAATGACCGTTTTTCTCTTAACGCGTAGAATATGAATCGTATGATTCTCCATACGCTAGGACTAAAGAGAATATGGATTGTGCAGACCCTGTGCCGCTGAATCTGTATCTCAAACAGTCTTATCTAGAAATCTATGAGTAAAACAATAGTCTGACATCGCTGAATCTGAAGAGAGACAATTTATTCAATTTAATTTATCGCTGATGCCACTAATTTCACTGTTTTTGCGACGTTAACCTTCATATATTTAAGTAGTTTTCTAAAATCAGAGTTTAGATAATCAAGCTCCTAATAACTTTTCGTTTTCAGACGATATGCGTAGGAACTAATTACCCATTTAAACCAATTCAAAACCTATTAGCCGTTCTTTACAAGTTCGGTAATAAAAAATCAAACTGGTAGCAAGAATGTATTAATGAACTGAACGTAATTGTATTTCGAACACTGCGGTGCAAGGGGCAAGAAAGTTTATTTCCATACAAATCTGTATTAAATCGACTTTTCACATAGGTGCGTAAAATGAGAAATTTAGGCAGAATTAAGCTTCTTCATATGGGCACTATAGGCACTGGTTGAACCGTGGTCTCCGCCCAGAGGTCGCCATAGTACAAGTCATTAAATGAATGGTCGTTGAAGCTCTCCGGTATGATCTTCTCAATTTTGATAGGTCTGAAGAACTCGAGGCGGTGGAAGTCCGGCGCGTCGTTCGGCCGACCGTCGAAGATCGGGTGCACGGCTTCATAATGACGATTTTTTCCGGAACCATGCAGTGCATAGCCGTTGAAACGAGACACCTTTGGTGGGAAATAGGCTAGGGGAATCTCGAACACCGACCGCCACGTGTTCCCTTCAAATACGTTCTGAACCTAAAAAACAATCGGCATGTGTATCAAGATGACAAACATTACAACAATCATTGACTGATCACTATTTCCTAATCTCGATGCCTACGATCGTCTGCTCTCATGTGACTTGACTCTTCATTTTTCCATGTATCTCATAGCTGATCATCTTATCTAAGCCGAGCTCCTTAGATTTGATGCTTGCGCACCTTGGGTACCAGTGCATCACGGCTGTAGCGATCGATCATCCGTAAGTCTTGCGACGTAGTCCGATAGTCCGACTTCTACCGCACGCAGAAAACTTCGAACCATATGCGTTCCATTTCATTCGGTCCTAGCAAATGGTTTTGGCTACTGTACAAGCATGCCCTGAACTTCTATTTGCCAACACTATGGCAATATGAGGTTCCAGATGATGGCTTAGTGAGTCTTGGCCCGTTTTGAGTGTTCCTCATTGTGTTCGTCGAATACATCTACCTCTTCTCGTTCACATCACAGAGCAGTGCGTGATCTGGCGGAGGTGACAAATATTAAAACACAGAAACACGCTGAAACCAACCCTAATCAAAGGAAAGCATAACATGTTATATGCTGCTGCTTACGTCACACTAAGCTTTTGTACCTGATGTGTCGATAAACGTTATAAACGGTACCTTTCTGGACAAAAAATAGATAATGGTTTGTAGAAAAACAGACTTCTAGAGATATCAATCGCAAAACTAGTTATCGAAATATTTGGCCTCTGCACCTTCCGGGGTTCGTTTGCCTGTAACATGCTCAGTGAAAGATTCTATATAAAGACATGTTACTGCACCTGTGTATCGTAGTACAGTACATAAAGAAATATCGGCAGTGCGCATTACCAGTACATCATATTGCATCGTGCTCTAAGGCATAACTTTCATGAATATAAGAGATCAATCATGCATACAGTTGTAAAGCGAACACTGCAAAGACTATAACTGTAGTATATACGGCTATTTAAGCTGGGATAAATCAATCATAATAAATCAAGGCAAGCAGCAGTTAACGATGAAAGTGGATTTCTCGGCAGCTGTAGAATGAAATACGGTGGGTTAGTTCCCCTTTACCCTTGTTCCGGAATGGTAGCCTGAAGGCTTGTCGTAAACGGTCAGCCAACGAGGCTCGAGTAGATAACTGTTAAATCCTGACTGGCATCTATAATCAATGAGTAAAACTAAAGCGACTGCCGATGTTCAATCGGTCGGTCAACGAGCTCTCCTAGGAAACCAGCGGGGGCCTCTGATGTGCCAGCAAGTACGTAGCTACTCCACCGAGTTCTACGCCTCCTTGTTCCAAGGAGACAGAGTATAAAAGGACAATGAATCAGAGCAAATATGAACTAACACTACTGCATCAAGATTTCGGTCACTGGCTCGTCAACGCGGTGGTCTGAGCACATTCTACTGGTTGGCACGACGGTCCCTAGTCCATGACACGCACATCAATCAGTTAGTTCTAATATTTCTATTTACGGTCTTTATGGTTTACTGTCAGACTACCACTTTAAATGTCTAACCTTTGACTGTGACAGCACCACTACTCCTAAGCCCTATTTTCATACACATGACAGCTTTCACATTCAGAATTCACCTCCAGCTCCAAATCATCGTTGAGATGCAACGGTACGCGACGTTCCTTGAACAATAGCACCAGCCAGTGGCCATGAGGTCCGATCTCGATCTCGAGGTACTGATTCTTTCCGTTTGCGAAGAACAGCTCGACACATTCGTAGTCGTACAGGTTATGACAGACACCGCCGAGGTCGTCTGGCTCTGCCGGATCATCGAACAGGGGGCCTTCGACAAACGCCTTCACGACACGTTTATGTGGTCTACCCTTGAGGCGCTGGAAGAACCATTCGAGGTGAACATGGAACGGCTCATGGTCCACAGGCTCACCTCGCCAGTTCTTGTCGATCACGAAATCGAAGCCGGAAAGCGTGTGTTCCAACTGACGAGCTGCGCTTAGTGGAATTGGAAGGGCCATTACACACAGCCTAAAAATTTTAAAAACAACAAGCGTTACTTTACTTCGCTTCAGTGTGCAGTTTATGATCATTTAATAATTTTATTATTAAAGCAATGGCACCAACGATGCACACAGTTAACAGCAGCTCAACGTGGAATCCTGAGACTTAATGGTCAGATCATCCAACTGAAATAAAACACACACACGCACACACACAATCGGTACTCTGAAGGCGTGAAATACGCGAACCTTAACGGCAGACAGTACTGAAAGCGAATCATGCGACGTTGGCCTAAATGGAGTGGTAGAGTTCAGAGGGTGCGAGCACATTTTCGTTGCTAATCCTTGGTTCGTTCCACCTTTCCTCTGAAAAGAAATGCACTCTTCTGGAGTTGGGTTCCCATGCCAAGGGAAAACGCGATGGACTGCATCATACTTTTCTACAGCCTTGAAAGCCTGTCACTGAAACGGGTAGTTAATGAAATAATGATAATCAGGGAAGGGTTGACAGAGCTGATCTAAACATTATTTCATGCAAATCAGCGAGTGAAGTCAGCAAGTGCGAAGTTTCATTACCAGGACTGGACGGGAGGATGGGATACGTTCTGTGCATATTAGCATGCCACCTATTCAATGATCAAAGATGTCGCTAACTTAATTCTGACTGGAATATCTGTCAATCAGTTTGCTATAGAACTCGGTTATCACTACCTAGCTAGCCAGCAGTTTCAGAGCTGATACTAAGTTTTCAAGGCTGAACAGCGCGTCTGTCTTAATCTTAATGAAGTTCATACCAAGAAGCATTTTCATTTTATGGTCGCTCCAAAACCTTAATGGTGGAAGAAATGTATCTGAATGTCACTTAAATAATCAGATGGTAGCAGTGTTGATTTCATCACCTATTTCTGTGCAAGTCACTTCCAAACTAGAGTAAGGACAAATAAAAGCAAAACACTAATCCTGTTTGTTTTCGACAATCGACCCCGTAAGCACTCATTTTCTTATCTCGATCACGAGTTAGAATGTGGCGAATGCTTCGTCCTTTCGTTTCAACTTTATCAGTTATTTACCCTCCAGTTCCCCAAATGGTTCACAGCCCAGAGCAAATGAAGGCACCATGAACTCCCAGTAATCAATAGCTTGTCTGAACGGGTAATTTCATATATGTCTCTGACCAATAGTGTTCTCTCCTCCAGCAGCGCTAAGATTTAATGGTTAAAATGGGCAGGAAAAGGCGCCAACGAATTCAGCAACAAAATACATTTTCAGAAACTATCCATACTTTTGTTCAATATTAATGTACTTAAAGAGTGGCCATAAGCAAAAGGACTCAAAACTGAAACTTCTGACTGCTTTCATCGAAACCTTGGTATCTCACTGAGGTAGCTCAACAGTCATCTTTGGCAATGGACTGACTGTTAGGGATGCTTAGAGAACCAATGCTGATGCTGTAGCTCACTGATTGGACCAGCCGCTAAACCGAACAACAAA